CGCGCGGCTATGACCGGTGAAACGAAACGTCACGAATTCTATTTTTATCCTCCAAAAATGGAAAAGTGGGCGGGGTCTATTTTTATCCTCCAATCACAGGTCGGAGCAATTCCTCTGTTTAGACGCATGTCAACAAGCGGTCCAAACCCGGTGCTAAATCGCAATACGCATGCGCCAAGCCTTATTTATGTCACGTAATTGTACGCTCGCTGTGCCTCGCTGTCTGCGGGGTGACGTGGCGAGCTGAACGGAGAACCGATGACTCATCTAATGTATAGGATCAAATATGCAGTCTGTACGCTACGATTTGGCGCGCCTCAGGCCCGGGCCGGACGCGCGCTAGTTTAACACCATATCAAATTTTGCAGTCCGTACGGGGTATCATGCATGTGCAAAGACTGGCTATTGGCACATGTACACTTTGCGGTGGAAAGACTGCTTGTAATTTGTATGCAGAGGGTCACAATTCATACCACCTATGATCGAACGTACGAGTCGTGCGTGCGGAAACGTAATTTCTCTTGTTCCGGTATATATTTTATATTCCAGTTATCTATTTCCGATTCAAAACGAGCTAAATGGACGGGTCACTTACCAGTGGAATGGTTAGTGGGGCAATCATAGCTCCGATGCGACCTATTGATGATGATAGCCCAACTCCTATATTTCTTATGGTAGAAAAACGGAAATAAAAGGTAGTTGAAGAACGAATCGTTAAAATACTGACTGTCTGGCATGTGATTATTGATTAGGAGGTAAAGCATATATATCTGAGAAAAATTCGGTAATCATACTATACGCAGGGCGCACAATTAGAAGAAACAATAGAATTAAAGGATTTAAAGTTTTATCATAAACTAGCACCAACCCCCAAAAATATATGCCGTGATTTTCTCTTACCTGACGACTGTCGGGTATAATTCTGCCGTATAGAGATAAATACAAGCAAACGACGCTGTGATTCCAGACTTTCCAACCATCGTCAACGTTGTTAGCAACCATTCTAGATCTGTTAAAAACGACAATTAGAGCTTCATCAATGTCGTTTAGGAACTATACTACGCAGGATAACTTTACCATCGAAACGCAAAGTCCGAAAAATTTGTGATTCCACGTGGAAAGTTAGTCTGAAACTATATGCACTCATTGTTACGTGCAACAAGACAACTGTTACCTTTGGCGTCGCAGCTGTTAGAATTCGTGTATTCTTTCACAAAATAAATGGCGAAGATTGGGAGCCCGGCGAGCAGCAGGAAAAAAGACGTCGTTTTTCTTCTACCAACCCTGAAAGAATAACAGGTTCACAGCACGATAGGCCAATAGTGTCGCTAATGGGAAAATAAATGAAGATGACAATTAATTCGTATGTATAGCCGTTACAATACAGGCAGTATACAAATTTGTTAGTTCGCACTGTAAGTGATCTTACCAGTCGACAAGCAAAAGAGCGGCAAGAAAGGCAGGTACCTCCACCGCTCCCATCAGAAAGGCGTTCAGGTAGAAGTTTCCAGACAGTGTTGATGTACCGAAAGATAATCCATAGTACACCAGTGCAACTATTATCCTGTAATGATCATGTCTATATATATATATATATATGTGTGTGTGTGTGTGTGTGTGTGTGTGTGTGTGTGTGCGTGTGTGGTTGTGGTGTGTGCTGTGTGTGTGCGTGTGTGTGTGTGTGTGTGTGTGTGATGTGTGTGTGTGTGTTGTGTGTTGTTGTATGTGCGTGTGTGTGTATGTGCTTGTGTGTGTGTGGTGTGTGCTGTGTGGTGTGGTGTTGTGTGAGAGAGAGAGAGTGCGTGCGTACGTGCGTGGGTGCGCGCGCGCGCGCGCGTGTGTGTGTGTGTGTGTGTGTGTGTGTGTGTGTGTGTGTGTGTGTGTGTGCATGTGTTTATCCAGTACTCAGCAATAAATTTTGTCGTAAGAAAGTCATTCTTCTGACGGACTCTATTATATTATTTATATTATTATTCTCTCTATTAAAAATATGTCTAGCAATGAAACGTAATCTGATTTTGTTAAAAGTTTTCTTTTTGCAAGCCACCACTTAGGTTATAATTAAATTGTGAGATGTGTGGATAGGCCTATAGGAGTAACGAGTAGCGCGTACAGGCTCAGCGACCCATCCCATAGCAGTGGCAGGGAGGGGCCCACTGGTTCACTCATTTCAACCACTGACCATATAAAATGCATCAGCGTGGAGTACAAGCGTAGACCAGGCGTTCGGTAGACATCTAACAGCGAGCTCCGCTTCGGTGGGTCTCCTTCGCTCTCTGCGTTGTCTTGTGAATCGGTGCGCGTGAGGCAGTTCTCTGGTATGCGGACGTTGTTGATTCTGGCGCCGCGCTGTAGAACCTTTTCTGCCTCCTCTAATCTGTTTCTGGAAGCTAACCAATG